CCCTCAGCCAGGGTCAACCCACCACAGGTGATTATTGCAGAATTGGCTAAGATTCTGCATCTGCTTGTTATTTAACAGAATATTCACACTGCAGTCTTTTTGCCTGTCTCCATTTCACAGGGTGGGAGTTTCGATGTTGCAGACAGGATGTTTCACAGCGTCAAGAGCACGTGGGAATCAGCATCAAAGGACAACATGAGTGATGTCAGGGAACTCATTCCTGAATTTTTCTACTTGCCAGAGTTCCTAACCAATGCGAATCACTTTGAACTTGGTAAGTGCTAGAAGGGACTTCAGTGTTCCCCTTCTGCTCCCCAGCGTCCTGCCAAGGGAAAAAGTCCAGATCACATGTTGGGAGCTGATCCCTAACTATGCTGACTGATGAGGCTCTCTAGTGATGACAGATCAATTTTTATTAAAATAAGACTACCAGAATACAAGCTTCTGATATCCGAATGCTATCCGAAGACTCATGTTTCTAGCTTAGAAGGATTGTAGCTCCTATTAGTTACTGTGCAAAGGAATTGCACATTTTGTCAGACAAAAGTAGATTTCAATATAAACAATCTAGATGACTGCTTTTGAAAATCTGGTTTGTATCATCACATCTATGTGGCTATGGACAACAGATTAATTTGACTTTTGGAGATGGATCAATTGTTAGATGGTGTTGGTGAAAGGTCTTTTTTTAAAATCTCATGTCTCTGGTGATTAAAGTTGCCAAATGTCCTCACTATCATCTTGAGAGTTTCTGCACAAACCATGTGTACTTGATCTATCATCCCTGGCCTCCAGCAGCATCACAATCTCTTCTGAATGTACAATAATAATAATAACGATAAAAGAATATACCAAAAAAAGTGATGCACAGCACAATTGCTCACCAACCAAAGCTGATACTCAGCTAGTTTTTGAGCTAAACTGCCTCCTGACCCACCCCTCTGTTATATACTGAGCATGACATCATATGGAATGGAATATCCCTTTGGCCAGTTTGGCTCAGCTGTCTTGGCTGTGGCCCCTCCTAGCTTCTTGGGCACCCCCCCACCTTCTTGTTAGCAGGCAAGTATGAGAAGCTGAAAAGTCCTTGACTGCTTAGCAAGAACCAAAAGCATCAGTGTGTTATCAACATTATTCTCATCCTAAATCCAAAACATGGTACTATATTAGCTGCTAGGAAGAAAATTAACTCTAGCTCTGCCAAAACCAGGACAATCAATGATGAAGGGTGAGAGAGAATCCAGAAAAAATACTATTCAGAAATAGTCATGGCAGTCCTGATTCACTTCACTTTACAGGTAATTCACATCATTTGCAATACAAAGCTGCTTCTTGTAGTGGACACAGGTTGGTTAACAATTAAGGCAGAGGAGAAATACTTTAAGAATCATCCTAAATTGGTGACGGTAAAAGCATCGTAACCCATGGAGTTGAGGTCTAGCTATAATTGTGTTTAAGATATTGGTGAAATGAGACATGCTAAGAAAAGGACAGAATGGGAAAAAGATGTTAGAACGTTGTTAAAAGATAAGAAAGAATTGGAGTAGTTTCATCTTGAGAGGTGGCTGAGAAACAGAGCCTTGCAGAAATCAAGATCCAGAGACTGACCTGAGTGGAATCAAGTGCAGGAACCTAAAAAAGACACCAGAATCTTGCCAATAGAGAACAAATATACAGGAAGATTTTACACTAGGAAAAGACAAGTATCTGTTCACTGCTACACTGTAAGGAAACTTGCAGTCCCAGATCTAAGCCTTAACTTAGAACTGAATTCATCCAGTTGCGCAAGACTGTGCTCTGATTTAAGAACATATGCTCACCTTCTGAAAGGAATCAGATTGCAAAGGACTTGAGAACAAAATCCCTCCCAGTGGCTTGTTTAGTAGAAATATCTGGCAGTTAGGCCTATGGGATTATGTATAAAAAGAAAGTTGTGCCAACAGGTTTGTCTTGTCTGAGTTTGCAGTCTGTGCTAGAATGGTTTGTGCTGAGGATGTGCATATTTTTACTGTAATAGTGACAGTTACTAGAGCATCTTCCTAGTGCTTTATTACTTGATCAGAAATCCTAGGAGAAATTGGTTCTGCAGTGCTCTATGGCACTATATTTGATGTAGAACCTGAAACAGCATGTGTGAAAATTAGCTCAATTTCCTTTGACTTCAGTGTTTTAGGAAAGCTGTTCCTATTTGCAATGTATGTGATTCTTGTTTTTAATTCTCTGTTTGTGATTCCTGCAGGCTGCATGCAGGATGGAACAGTGCTGGGAGATGTGCAGCTTCCTCCTTGGGCAGATGGGGATCCCCATAAATTCATTCTCCTGCACAGACAGGTCAGTAAATATCAAGATTTGTGTCAAAATGTTGAACTGGGTCCCACTGAAATCGAAACTCTGAAGGCCAGAGTCACAAAAAAAACTTTAGATCCAAATGCATCCTGCCTTTGCAGAGTTTGTGCTGGGTTCTCAACTTTGCATGTCTAATTGCCTGCCTAACAATTCACCCTGAATCAAGGCAAACTGTGTGAGGTTTATATCTAGATCTGTGGCATGGACCTGTCTCAGCCCGTAAGTGTATGTGTACATAACATAATGCATGCATATGGCATTTATATGCGTACAGTTCCATGTTGTTGCTAACCACCTGTGTGTTTATTTAAACTACCTACCTCCATCTCTGAGTCTGGCCAGGACTAAAATTATTTTTCTATTTTGGGGTGGAAAAAATGTAACGTGATTTCCTACCCTTAATAGAGTCAGCCTTGGCAATTTGAAAGCAAATAGCTTTAAGGTCCTGAGACTTACTGCAATTAGTGCTATCTGTTAATAGTTAGGGACTCTTCTGTATGATGTCACCTTCTACGTAGTAGTGAGTGCAAAGGCAATTCTGTATGAAGGCTGTTGCATTGAACACAGACTTTGCAGCAGAATATCTTGGTGCAGGTCTCTTTTTGTTAGAGCTAAAAAAGGAGTGGGCTGTGCTACAGTCCCCCTGCATTATCTCATCAGATTTCCTCTGGCAAAGGGAGTCGATCTGTATTTGTATATGTGTGCAAATTGTTGCTGTGTACAAGAAGAGTGATGATTATGTGGTGGGAATAAACAAATAGCCTGTGATTTTCAAGGCATTGCATCATCCTGGTTTGTCATATGTAGCTTCAGTTTCTGCCTCAGTGGGTTCTTGTCATCTCTCTTATGCTATGCCAGTCCTGCCCTTGGGCGTTCAGCTTCCACTCTCTATAATCTCTTTGTAGGTGATTGCATGCAAACTTGTGGCTACAACCATCTTCTCTATTTTGATATTGCCAAATAAGCCCCTCCTCAGCTGACCTCTCCAAATGTTGCTTCCTAAATCCTGTCTCTGACCTTACTGACTGCCTGAACTTTTTATTCCTGTTTTGAACAAAACTAGTGTCATACTCTTATCTTGTAAATACTCTTTTCTCCACTGTTCACTTAACCATTGACAGCAACCGTGATTCTCCCATTAAGTTACTGTTACTTTCATGTCCCTTGCTTAGCACATCTGCTGCATGCAGAGTCTACTTTTTGTGATCGTCCATACTACTAAACAATTTCCATGCTTTTCCTGGGCATTCTTTTGAATCTTTGTCTCATTCTTTCTGATGTCCTGATACCTTATTTGAAGTCACTACAGGGACAACTGGAAGGGGACCATCTTTGTTGTCTGGCATTATGTACAAATCTCTTTCCCCATGCCCTTACATTTTGAATTTCTGTATGGCTCCACTCTTCATACTTAAAGTGTGTCTCCTTTCCCTCTTGAGACCCTATGCATCTGATTTATTTGTTCTGGCCTCTTCTTACATCTCCTTCTCCCTGCAGCCACCTGGGTGCTGTCAGTAATCTAGCCTTAGTCTCATGTTTGGCAATGCCATTTTTATCCATGTTTGAAAAAAATAAAAAGTCCTTTATAAGCTGGTCCATGGGCTATGAAATCCATCCTTCTTCTATTAAACCAGTTTTAACAGAACAGGCTCCTGGTAGTGTGCATTATCTGTATATCTTACAAATAATTAATTGTTGTTAAAACATTATATTCTAAATATAAGTCAGTGCTTTGTAGCACTTGCACCCCATAGTGTCTTTATAGGTTCCTGATGCTTTGAACACTTTGGCTTGTGAATAACTCTGAGAGTGAGCCAGTTCAAATCTGGATTCATTTACACGTGCTCAGGTTACTCCTGTGAGTGAACGTGGACATGATCTGAGCCTGTGCTTGCCTACTTTTTTGTGCAGTAGTCTTGCCTTTGTTGCTTTTTTAGGACTGTTGAGTGATATATTTCATTTTTAGTTTAATTGATTAAGAGGCTCCCTTTAGTCTCTATTGTGAATTCATGACCTGAACACTTCAAATCTGTGTCAGAACAATAATGCTAAAAATATTTAAAAGAACTTTATTTTCTATCTTGTTACTTTACCTGTTTTGAAATGGATAACTTTTGCATCTACTTATTAAAAATGTTGTTTTCAATCGTTTTGAAAATGTGATTGAAAGTAGTCATCTACCACTTTTTGCTCCAGAATCCTGTCTCAATACATAAAAGCTTGTGAATTAATGATATTCCAAGTTGAGTGGTGTGGAGAATAGCTGCTTACTATTATTAGCAAGTCTCAAGTGTCTCCATGCTAAGTAGCTTGACTCAGTGGTGTGGTGCCACACAGTTTAGTAACCTAAGCCAGTACATTGAATTTACAGCATATTCAGTAACTAATCAGTCCCTTTACAGAAGCTACATTAATATATAGCTCCATTATTAGTAAAATAAAAGGATGTAATTTTTTCAAATTCAGATTTGGGCGGGAAGGATTTTAATACATGAGAAAATTTGAAAGTTGGACTTTTTATTCTGATTAGGAAAGAAAACACTATTCAGTGTCTGAATTTCCTCCAGAACCTGGCTTCCATCTTTCAGTCAGACTCTATCCTGTGCCTGTTTGCAACCTATTAGCTTGAGGGGATAAGGAGAGAATGTTTTTGCCAAAGAACTGAGATGCAGAGAGATTAAGAGCCATGTTCAGACTGCTTAAGCTCCTGTACAGACACAATAATAGGTATTACTGAGTCAGGCATCTCTGAAGGTGCCTAGAGAGAGACTTAGGGGCTCAGAGCTCTAGTCACACTGAAAAGTGGTGGAAGGGAAGAGAGACCTGAGTTTTCGTCAGTGCCCATAACCACATGATGACCTACGTCTGCTATGAGGAAGGAGATCCTTATGTATGTGTTGTCCGCGCCGCAGGCTCGCTGCTTAAAGTACAATCCTTGCTAAAATGAAGAGTTGAGCCTAGGGATTGCCCAATTCCTTCCCTTGCAGGGAAGCAACTCAGTTCTATCCACTGAAAATAGGTTTGGGCCACTGAGGTCAAACATACAACAGTTCCCTGATGTTCCTGAGTGACTCCAACCAAGGCATGTAGGTTTTGGGGCACTTTTAGGTTCCTTTCTCTGCACTGTTTCATGCTCTCTGTGACTTTCCAAGGTGCTTAGTCTCTATCCTCCAGTTTCCCAAACATGGGAAAGACAACACTGTCCTTCCCTAACAGAGTTGCTGCAGACAGAAATCCACAGATGTCTGAAAGCTACTGTAATTTTACACTTTTTTAAAGAAAAACATAGGGAGAAATGCTGTCCCTTGTATTGTGGCTTGTGTGGAGTGTAAAGTACTGAGCTGTGCTTCTTACTGCTGGTGTAATGGTGGGCACTCCAAAAGCACTTAGATAAAATGGGGAACATCTGCTTTCCCCTTGTACTTTGGAGTAAGGGTGCAGCTGGAAATGAATCTATCAATCATCCCTGCATAGCATGGTTTTGCTTTCATTGTAGAGTGATCTCAGATTGTGTGAACTAGGTTCATTTTGGATGAAACGAAACTGAAAGCTGCACTCCAGTTGTGCACTCCAGATGCTGGTGGCATTCAGCCTGTGGGAGCAGACTAGATCTAGTTTGAAGTAAAGCCCCCACAGTGCATGTAATGTGGATACCGGGCCCTCTCTACCATCTGTTCTTTTCTACAGATCTGCTTCCACTGAGCTGCACTGTTTGATTACATTGGCACAGCTGATAAAACCACACAACTTTTACAAATTAGTTCAAATTTCAAATAGGAGCTGTTTAACAAATGAAAGATCATGTTTATAAATTGGTGTTATTATTGATTTGCCAGTCCTGATCAGACCTCACATGCAGGAGTCCAATATTCTCTCCAACTATTGCTGGTACTAGATGTTACACAGGGGGGTGCAAGAAATCTTGCTGTGGAAAGAAAGTTGATTAGCCTGCCTGGAAGAGTTCATCTAACCCTGAAGTAAAGAGAGATTTTGACTTCTGAAACACAAGGGTTTCTGTCTCCTCTGAAATCATCCACAAGACTGGAGGTACTTGTTACTGGTATGACGGTCATTTTTAGGAGGCTTCACAGTGAGTTTGGTACATTAAACAGATCCACGTCAACACTGTTCTGAGGTTTGGCTATTGCTTTGAAGAATATAAGAGCAAAGAATTGTTCTTGACATAAAATTTTGAGTAGCTCCCTGTTTCATGTTTAATAAGTTAGGAATATAGTCTACTAAAGAAATTTATTTGCTTCCTCCTTACACTGCAAGTTCTTCCTCCCTGGCCGGGCTTGTCATAGTGCTCAGTGAAATACTGAGGCTGCACAGTTGCAGCTCTGTTGGTTGCTTTGTTTTGCTCTGGCAGTGATGCTAGGCAAAATTTACAGTTTGTAATTCATGGACTAACTGCTTTTATTAATGAGGATGAGTTCTGAGTCTGTTCATAAGTGTTTTCCTGTTGTTTGCAGGGGACAGATTGTATGTCGTGCTTGCTCTCTGAGCTGCCCTGTGATCATTATAGCTGTGGGCAGGGTCATTTAAACCAGCTGCACTGGGTTAACTGTCTGCTCTGTGAAATGAGCCATTGTTCTGGATCCCATTAGCTTGTTTACTTCTGCTGTGCTTTGGGTGGGATGGTCTGCTTGGGAGACCTTTAACTGAGCATCAGGGAGTATTGCACAGTCAAATGATTTGGAGATAGGGAAGTATTTTTAATAATGCTTAACACTGCTGCTTGAATCATTGGGCAAGGCCATTTGGGAATGCACAAAAATTTGGTGAGGCAGGTGATGGCAGGGGCAGCAGCATTTAGAGAAGCCTCATGGGTTAGGTTGGCTATCCTGGAGGTGGGCAGAGATTCAACTCAAACTTATTGTCCACTGCTTATGAATGTGATGTCTGGGTCTTCCAAGTACAAGTTGTCCACTAAGATTACACTGAGCTTTCTAGGGAGTCCACACTGGGGTTGGATGTATTGCCTTGTTGCGTCTCTTCCAGTCTCCTCCGGTAGTAATTGTTTCTTCTGGTTCCATTAATCCACACACCTGTCACTATGGGTGGCAAATCTAATCAAAGTTAACCATTTCTTATTTTGGGGAAAAAAGTTCAGTCCCCAAGTTTTTCCAGGATGAGGAAATCTGGTGCTGCGACTCTTTCTGCTTAAGCCCTGCGAAGGTAGCAAAATGTTTCTTGATCAAACCCAAGCATTCTTGAAGCTTCTGTCATACAGCTGCCCTGCTGCACCCCAACTCTGCTATTGCAAAACCCCTTCCTTGTCTTGGCTTGCAGCACTCCTTGCCATTTCAGTACAACCTCTACGTTCTTTTTGGTTCGTGGCATGCAGCCTCTGCTGTATCTTTCAGACCCATCTTAAAGCCCCTCTGCTAGCCATCTCCCTTTCCAATCTGTGTTTATATGTATCTTCTCAAATAAAGTCTCTGCTACTCAGTGTGATTCATAACTAAGGCATATTTCTACAAATAGACTAGTACCTTAATTCACTTGTGATTTATCTATAGAGAAAAGTGCTGTCTAGTATCAAATACTAACAAAGTCTAGTATCAAAATACTAACAAATGTTTTTCTTATTTAAACCATCTTTTGTCAGTAACAGTATTGGTGAAGACATGATAGTACAGGCTTTAATGTATGCTGGAGGACATGCCAAGATCTGTGGAGTGCTTGCACTTTGCTTAGTGGAACCTGCCAGTGTTGTCTCTGAGGATATTGCTCCTGGTCTCTGCTGAATCAAGAACGCTGCACTCTGTCCTTCCTTTTTCTGTGGGGATCCACCCTTCATCTCTTTGGTTGCATTTTGTGAGGATCTGCTGGGTATGATGGTACTGGAGGAACTGAAAGTGTGAAGATTCACTTGCAGAGAATTTAAGTCTTCAGCTAGGATTGTAAGGTGGTAATGCATTTGTAATGGATACACTCTACTGAATTAATTAATTTTCTTTTGGTTTCAGGCACTGGAAAGTGAGTATGTCAGTGCACACCTTCATCGCTGGATAGATCTGATTTTTGGCCACAAGCAACATGGCTCAGCTGCGGTGGAGGCAGTTAACACCTATCACCCTTACTTCTATGGAGACAAGATGGACCTTAACAACATTAAAGATCCTTTGATTAAGAGCACCATCCTGGGTTTTATCAGCAACTTTGGACAGATACCAAAGCAGGTACCACTTTATCATGAGAGTAGACAGCATAATTTATTTTGGTTTTGTAGTATTTCAACTGGAAAGAAAGAATTGAAGCTTAAATCAGAGACATTTTCTGATTTAAATCTGCTGAAAGATGAGCTATAGACTTCTCCATATCATGTACTACATCAGAATGCACCCACCTACACGTGTGTGATTCCACTGTCTAATCATGCTGTTCCTGTTGTATGCCTGAGTTCTGTATGCCTGTATGTTTCTGATTTCTGCTCCTTCAGTACAGTCACGTGAGTAACCACTTGTCTGGGAATGGGTACAGTCAAATAAAAGCAGCTCAAAGTCTCACCTACACTTTTCTCTCTTCTGAATCACTGGGATTAGCTTCCTATCTCTGTGAGAAAGTAGTCTGACAAAAATGTAATCAGGGTAAGATTTTATTTTAATGAAGAGGTTCATGTATGACAATCCTGGAGTCTATGATTAAGGATTTAAACAGATGTGTCTCCTGCATGATCTGGCAAATAGAGGTTCATTTTTCAATGCCATTCCTTTGTTCTAGCTCTTCACGAAACCACATCCATCCAGGAACGCCCAAGGGAGAAGCTCATCAGGAAGAGAGACTGTGCTGTCCCTTCACTCAAGTGGAATTCTTCCTCCTTTTATGAGCAGCCTGCAAAATCTGAAGCTCTCACCAGTTACAATAAAAGGTGCTGCAGGGGCTGTGCTCCATTATGTGAGCTAATAAGTGCAGAATTCTTGGATGAGGTGAATCTGGATTTTCAAGAGCACAAAAATAGTCATACAGCTTTGTATGAGTTGGTACAATCAAGAACCTTTCTGCCAATTGTTGTTTGGAAGTCAGCCTTGAAAACACCCAAATGCTCAGGAGAAATATTGAGACTTCTGTTGTGGAGTTCAGAGCAGGTTTTTTTTTTTTATATAAGACAAGTAAATCTTTTCTCTCCTCTACATTCTGAATATGTTAAATTGAAACATAAAGCTCACTGTTTTCCATTGTTGTTATATCTCTTTATATTGAACAGCAAAGTAAATACTCCTGTTTTTCTGTTTTTAAATACTGTTTTTCTCCACTTCTTGATCTTCAATTCTTTTCTTTTTCTTCATCTTTTTCTTAGTCTGTTACTTTTCTTACAATGAAGAAGCCTGGAAAATTTCAATGTCTACTTTTTCATTCCTCAGTGGTGTTCTTTACATCCCATATCTTTGTGGGGACAGTGGGTTCCCATAGCTGTACTACAGAGGCTGTTGGTGACATGCCCAGCATCCTCTGCAGTGGATGGCATAAGGCAGTCTGCCAATGAAAAGCTTAATGACACTACTGTTAAACCCCCTCCTTTGGAGCACGTCACTCCCTCTGCATGGATTTATGTGGTCCATTGGAAAGGAGTGTTTCCACTATTTTGTCTGGAATCTCAGTTGTAGAGTGGATTTCTGTCTGTGGACTTGCCCACAGCACTGAGCCCAGTTGTGGGACTTGCCAGCCTCACCACACAAGCTGTGCAAAGAGGAAAGTTAACATAAGTGCTATAAAACCAACAGAATTCAATATGTTCTCTGTCTTTTCAGACTATCCCAAAGGAGCTATTGGGCACATTGTGCACACTGAGAAAGGCATTCTGGCTGTCGAGAAAAATAAAGTTTTGATTCCTCCTCTGTGGAGCAAAACATTCTGCTGGGGATTTGAGGACTTCACCTGCTGCTTTGGCAACTATGGGTCTGAGAAGGTAAATATGAAAAAGTCTAAGCATTCCAGAAATGAATGATATCCTGTGGTCTTTGGTTGGCTTGGGCACCCATTTCAGAGGCTGTTGGGGGGCTGATTTCAAAGAATGCTGTACAGGACTTTCTCGCAGTCAAGCCTCTTAAAGAATCTCAAGTTTGATATTCCAACAGAGTACAAAGTCAGTCTGTGCTGCCGAAAAATGTGGCATTTCCCCTCTAAATTATCTCGTTTTCCTTCCAGTGACTGTGGTGTTTATCAAAATGAAGGAGAAACCCCATTTCATAGGTTGTAAGGACAATACAAGGTCTTCTGGTCACTGATTAGAAATTTCATTGTGCAGAAATTTCTGCTGGAATTAAGATAGGACCATCTGTCAATTCCCCTCTGGCTCCCAAGCTTAACCCAGTGAATTCATTCAAAATAATAATCTCTTCCGTTCCAGAAAGTTAATACTCTTACTTCTTTGCTGCTAAAAATCAATGATCTATGTCATTGGACTGCTTGTTAGGGCACTTGACATATCCACTTTCTTCCTCTATCACAAACACACTGATTTTTGGATGTTTTTGGGACAATGTATGACATGTAGAGACATCTGAGTTAGCTTGGGTACCAGAATAGTGGAAATCAACAGTCAGCAAGATACTAACTTGGGGATTTGTGCAAGCCACATCATTATGTTTTTACACACATACCCATAGTCAATGGAAGTGAAAAAGACATGAGATGTATTTTACTTTCTGCTCCCTGTATAAAATTGAGAGTTTTCTCCATTGATTTCAGTTAAAATCAGTGCTTGGCAATTCATAGTGGTATAAATTATTTGTTTTGTCCCTTCAAAAGTCAGGGAGTCACTGAGCCTAGTGACACTGAGCATAATGAGTGTGATTACACAGTCACTGTAAGAAGTAGTTGGGAGTCCAAGTTGAGTTCTCTGGATCAACAGTGCCTCTGAACATGAGCTTAAAAGAAATTTTTGTCCTCATTGTAAGTAGGTAAAGGTTTGTTCTGTCTGTGGTATGGTTTTTGTAGCTGTGCCATCCAGCTCATCATTAGCACCATAGTGTTGTCCTCATGTGTGAGTATGCTAATTCAGAATGTGAGCAGAAGGATGTTTGTGCTGTAATTGTAGCAATGTATAATAGTCCTGACCTTGGTTTAGGCTGGTTTGGGTGCTGCTAACAGAGCCGTTAGCAGAAAATGGAATTTAGTGCTGTGGTTTTTGGCTTTTCAATCCAAGAGGAGGGTTGCAGAGCCTGGCACTAACTCTGTTAGTAGTGGCCATCACAGCCTGAGCTTTCTTTTTAATCTACATTGAATGTTTGCATTCTGTCACTATATAGTGGCAGAATGAGCTTGCCTGAAGTTATGTAGGAAGTCTGTGGCACAAGAGGGATTGAGACTCAGATCTCCTAAGACACAAGATGCTGACCTTTTCCAGCCTTCCTATTTGGCCCCTGGAGGATGGCACGGTTACATGCAGCCACGTGTTATGCAGCTGTGCTGTGATTATAGATACTAGTTAAGATGAACTTTACTTTTCTGGATTTGAAGAAATGGAGGCTCACTTCTGAAACTTTAATCTGCCATTTGGCATTAATAAATGCATGATATCATCAGATAAGCATTTGACTTAAAGCTGCTTTCTTGTACAGAATATGACTACATTTGAGTGCATGGCAGACTGGGGAAAGTGCCTCTGCGCTGTGTGTCCTTCAGCAACTACCGTAATCACATCTGGAACAAGCTCGGTTGTGTGTGTCTGGGAACTTTCCTTGGTCAAGGACAAAGTGAAATGTCTAAACTTGAGACAGGTCAGTACTGTGGCTCTTTTGCTATAGAAACTTAATGAAAACCAAAAGATTAGTGTCTTTCTCTCAGATGACGGGCACAGGAAACACCTTTTGGTGAATCAAGATGACAGGAAAAAAACCAATAATCAGTTGTATCATGTGACAACCTCTTATGAGGTCAGGAGCTGATAATATGCCTTATACACACATCTTATAGTTATGAACTCTGCTTGGGTTTTTGGTTTGGGGTTTCCCCCCCCCCTTTGGTAGCATTTCCAAAGTTTATCATGATCAAAGAAACAGTGAAGATAAGGCATACGTTCTTGTCACTTGAATTGCAGCCAACCCTTGGATTATTTTCAAAAACTAGTATCACATGCAGATGCCTATAGTTCTTCTTGGGCAGCTGCAGTGATGGACAGGATCGCCAAACACCCTTCAAACTTAGCTGATGGACACGAAGGCTCAGCTAGGTAAAGTTCTTGATTCTTTTCTGTCAACCTGAATTCAGAAGATAAAAGGTTTTTCTGTCACTCCATGAGGTAGGGATGCATCCAATAACAACAATATAATTTGTGTCCTCATTGTCCAAAGTCCTTTAGTGGTTGTTGATTTGGAACTCATCTGTAGTCATCAAACAGCTGTATAAATGCTATTTCATTTACAAAAGTGAATTCTCATTCAAGATTTGTGTGTTTCAGCTATGGTGAGTTCTCAGCTTTACAAGTAAAGCTATAGTATACCTCTATTATATCTGAAAGGCAGCATGGGACCCTCTTTCCCGAAGAAGTCAAGGGACAGGAAACACTCT